TTTTTTTTTTTTTTTTTTTTTTTTTTTTTTTGCATGTTGGGTTATCTTTTAGAAAAAAGTGGTTTTCTATGATATAGTTCTTCAGCTCCTTATTTATTGACATACATTAGAAAATGGAGAACGCTGTTGCTAATTCCAATCATCTCAATCAATTGATGGGAAGAGATTACTTTTGAATGCAAATATATTTTCTTGTTAATATTCCCATTTTTCCCCTTGTTCTGGCCAGACTGCTGTTCATGGTGGCATTGGGCACGTATTCAGCAAACTAACAAAGGAGATTGGAGATCCTGTTGACTTTGAACTTCCAGATTGGTTAAATAAATGGCAATCAATGCCCTATACCTTTATAAAGCGCAGTATCCTTCCATTTGATGGTCTTAATATTTGTTGCCTAGATATTCTTCACCGATGTATTAAATTATCTTTCATATTGTGATAGTTTACTTCCTAAACGTACGCTGTTCACTTCTACATATCTTGGATAAGATCTTTGTGCTTCATCTCATTTGTTTTTTAACTTATGTTTTCTATTTGACCTGCATAGTCCGTTATCTTTGTGATCTTGCTTGAATCCTCCTCCTTTTCTCCTTCTGTTGGTATTAACTACTTGAAGATATATACCTTACTAAGAAGGTAAAGCGACGTGTGGAAGATGATGGTATATTTTGTTCCTGCAGCTCAACGGCAGAATCTTCTGCTGTGTGTGGCAAGGATTGTCTCTGTGGGTGAGGATGATTTAGATTAAGCTCCGCTTGCAGTCAGGAAATTGGAACAGTGTTATCTATATTTGTGGAAATAATCGGCTCGATGACTTGGTTCATAAATTCTTTAATTAGAGTTCTCAATGGTTCTTTAGCTGACAGCCTCCTGCTGTTACATGCATTTTTTTTTTCCGTTTAAATCTTTGTGAATATAGTGTATATAGCAATGTTTTAGACTCTTAGCATTTTTGGCATGTAAACTAGTGAAATTTTCTGCTGATATTCTTGTGGTACTCTTTTGTTTGTCCATGATTTCTGTGGTGTAATTTCTATTCAGCATACTTAAAGGAAGCAACGGAAAAAGGTTAGGTTGTTCTTTTTTTTTTTTTTGGTTTATCTTCTTACATTTTTTGAAGGGGAGTGGACCATTAAATAGTGGCTAAGGGGAAAGTGGAAAAGGGGAGGACTTTTGATGGGATTGGAACCATGCACCTAAGTGTTGCAACCACTGCTCTGTAACTCCGATCCCGGTTAGGTTGTTTAGTTTAGCTCATGTGGCTAGTCTACCATAAATATTCTTACGTTTAGATTCTTATGTTTTTTAATTTATTTTTGGTTTAACTTTTGTATCGTTCTATATCTCTTTGGCAGTTTTTATTCTAGATGATTGATATGTTTGATTAATTGGAAGGATGAGTGGCTTAAAGATTTTATTTCAGCATTTTTGTGACATTTGAAACAGCTTTAGAGAAGTGTGGTTTTCAGACTTTTCTTTAATCTTACAGCATGCTGATGTCTAGCTGCTCCTCGGGTTGTAAATGTGGGAGTTCTTGTCTGAATAAGTTATTCCATCAACGTCCTGTGAAGAAGATGAAATTAGTGAAGGTAGACACTGAAGAACTTCGAGTAGCTTCAGATATTTGAACAAATATCACTTAAAGGATGCATGTTGACTGCTTAGTTGTTTTTAACTTCTGTGGAAGAGTCATATATCATCTTTAGAAAACTGAGACTGAAAAACTTTCAATAGAGCCTTGATATTTTGCCATTTTTCAAGAGTCTATACATTTGTTGACCTTGAGCTGTGGTTTTGACCTAGACTTCTTACTCCTTGTATTTTTTCATTCAATCTTTGTCATATGTGATTATTCCTAAATGATACTTGGCTGATGTGGTTATATGTTGATTGTAGTGTGTCAAACTCAATATGTATTTGTCAATTTGACACTGGCAGATAAATTCTACTTTTGTTGGCAAAAATAGAATGGAATAAGGTAAAAAGATTATAGCGTTGGGAGGAAAATCCGTACTCATTGAAATATGTTTCTTTCACATCTATTTTGAGAATGATGTTTCTTTTAACATCTAATGACTGGTATTAGCATACGTAAAGTTTTTCTATTATCAAAACTGTATGATATATTACCGGAGTATTAAAAATATTATGGACTATAAATAATCATCCTGGTGAGTCATGCTGCATAGTTGCTCAATCATGTGTTCGGAGTACTTATAGTCTATTAAGTCTTGTAAATCCTTCATCATGCCTAGTCTCTTTCTATTCCTTTCTTGTTAGCTGCTTCACCAAGTAAAGAAGCTCTTCAGTTCCCCATTTCGGTTTTCATCAAGTGTTTTCTGGCTAGTAGTGAAGGAAGAATGACTAGAAGTTTCACCAATATTCTTGGTTGTGGTTTATTTGGTTAAGGATTGCTGAATTATCCTCGTTTCCGTTATTCCTTCGTCTAGTTTTTTCTTTTCTTAAGTTTGTCTACTGTCATTTTTATGACCAGAGAAATACTACCTAAAATTAGTTGCCAAGAGAGTTACAGCTTTCCTGTCATTAGTATTCTGCCAATCATTCCACAACTTTCTTTGACTTAAGCAGTAAATACCATTTCAACCTGGTCTCCCAAACTGGGACCCTAATCATAGAGTGAATAAATCAATGTTAAGCCCTGCATAGATGCACTAGTATTGTGTGATGATTTCTAGAGAATTTCTGTTGAGCAGTCTTAGAGTTCTTACATTTAAAAAGAAAGAGAGAAAAGAAAGGACGTCCAGAGGAGGCATATCAAGTGTTGCTTATATTATCGCTTATTTGAAAGAGATTAGAGACATTTCACTTTTTTTACTTTACATTCTTTTGAAAACCGCAGAACGATCTTAATCTTACTCAATTTGTGGTCATTATATAAATGGTGGGTCAAGTTTGTTGACATGTAACTTGCAGACTGAGAAATGTGGCTCTGGGATTGTGGCAGATGAAGATATCAAGCGAGGAGAGTTTGTCATAGAGTATGTTGGAGAAGGTGAAGTTCTTTCACTTTTTGCCTGTATTTTACTGAAGAACAATTTATGTTTTGTGCATTCTGAACTTCATTTAGCAAGGAAATATGCTTGCTACTGCAGTTATTGATGACAAAACATGTGAAGAGAGACTTTGGAAAATGAAGCACAGTGGGGAAACAAACTTTTACTTGTGTGAAATCAACCGGGATATGGTGATTGATGCCACTTACAAGGGCAACAAATCCCGATACATTAATCATAGTTGTAGTCCAAATACTGAGATGCAGAAATGGTACAGAAATAGCTTAGTAATTAATCATACTTGTGTATTCTCAACCCCCATTCCTAGAGATTCAACTCTATATTGCATTTCATTTCCATGCCCGGCGCTTTTAGGATGAATGATGGTGAAACAAGAATTGGCATATTTGCAGCACGGGACATTAAAAGGGGCGAGCATCTGACCTACGATTACCAGTATGAGGCTGCACTTTGATTTTACTTATTTTTCTTCCACCTGTGAGGACTGCAGTGTGTTATTCTTCTGACAGTTTAAATACTTACAAAAAGAAAACCTTCTCAGAATGTGAATTGCCTATTTGAATCTAACAATTGTAGCAGGTTCGTTCAATTTGGTGCAGATCAAGATTGCCACTGTGGTGCTGCAGGATGTAGGCGAAAGCTGGGTATTAAACCTAACAAGCCAAAACACCCTGCTTCAGATGCTGCATTAAAGATAGTGGCACGTCAGGTGGCTGCCACCTCTCCAAAACTGAAAGCGCTTCTATGCACGAATCATGTATGTACCTCTTACTATATCTATAGCTTGAAAGATATGGAAACATTTGTGTTGTTCTTGATGAGTTTCAGTAATTTGGCTTGGAAAGTTCTGCTAATTTTTTTTTAAAAAAATTACTTCGGGAATTTCATGACTAGATACTTAATTCCATGTATGATAACTTATCTTTGCTGGTTTCCTTTGGTTCAAAACAGAGATGGCTAATGTAGTTTTATATATCCATTTACCATCCTTTAATTTCTGTGTTTTGATCGAAAGTAGAGGACAAGTTATCCTAAATTACTATCTAAAAGAAGTATCGCCCTTCAATCTCTTTGGCCAGTTGAACAGACCCGTGGAAGAACCCTACTCTTGATGCCTAATAATGAAGCCATGGATATCAAACTTCCCATCCATATGACAAGATTTATTATGATATTGAAATGTCAAAAATACTTATTCTAGGAGGAAAGCTAGGATCATGAGGGCTGAATGTATTTGTCTGTGATTTGGG